GGAAGCATCAACATACACACCGAGGTCTTTCTCATAATCAGCTACCTTTATTTCAGTGGAACCCATAAAATATCTGTACTTTATATTTCTGCTCCCTGCATGGATTACCTTACATTTATCTACGTTAAATTTCATCTGCCAGGTATCAGCCCAGCTGCTAATTAAATCAAGATCCCCTTGTAGCCTCTGTGCTGCTAGATCAGTATCTGCTACACCACCCACTTTGGTGTCGTGCAAATTTAACCAGTTTACTGTATGTATTGGTGTCAATATCATTAATGTAAATTAGGAGCAATAGTAGTCCTAAAATTGAACCCTGCGTTACCCCACTATGAACGCAGGCCCACTATGACATTGTGCCTCTAACTACCTGCTGCTTCGTGTCTTTTAAAAAGTTTTCAATCCAAGCTGCCACAGTTCCTAAAATCCCTGCAGCTTTGAGCTTTAGCAGGAGCCGTTTGTGGGGACAACATCAAAGGTCTTCTGGAAATCTAAGTAAATCACGCCATAGGCCTTTTTGTGATCAATTTCTCTTGTATATTCCTCAAGTTGCTCAAGTAGATTAGATAAACAGGATCTACCTCTCCTAAATCCATGTTGGCTATCCCTCAGAATGTTATTTGAATCCAGGTAATCTACCATTTTCACTTGGATTATAGCTTCCATTACTCTTCCAGTAATGCTAGTTAAACTGATTGGCCTATAGTTGCTGGATAACTTCTATCCTCTTTTTTGCATATGGGATTATATTAGCAGGCTTCCAATCTGAAGGTACCACACCAGCAGATAATAATTTCTGGAATAGTAAAGTTAAAGGTTGGCTAATAATATCCATCATCTCTTTTAAAACTATAGGTAAGATGCCATCAGGCCCCTGCGATTTATTTATTTTGAGCTTAGCTAGGCTTAGTATCACATCAACCTCAGTTATACATATATTAGTCATAGACGACGCTGAATTCGTACTAATTGGTGGTAAGTTTCTTGTGTCCTCTACTGTGAACACCCGTGTAAAATAATCATTAAACTCATTTAATATATCAATTTCATTTTCAATTATAAGACCCTTACTATCCTGCAGATTAGTGATTTCAGCTTTTAGAGCTCTTTTGGAGTTAAAGTATTGGAAGAAACTTTTAATGTCATCCTTAGCCTCCAATCTTCCTTTCTACATTCCTCTTAGCGAGTCTAATGTTATTTTTTAACTTAAAGCTGCAACCTGTAGACTTAGATACTCCTGCTTTATTTTGAAATTGTTAGTTAATTTCCATTTGTGGAAGAGAACCCTTTTCCTCCTGACTTGGTCTTTAACAGATTGTGGTTCTATCTTTCCAGCAAGTGTATGCAGACAGTCCCCAGGTTACGAACAGGATCTGTCCCCTAAGTCTGTCTTTACCTCGAATTTGTACGTAAGTTGGAAAATAATTCAGTACTTATTATTTTAAAAACCATAGTGCTGCTTGGCCCCCAGTTATACAGTAATAATAAAAGTAACTACATACTATATACTGTATGTTGAGCCCATGAACCGTTGAAGCTGTGCAATATTTTCACAAACGTCACAAAGTAGCGTTCATTATTACGTATTATTACGTATTATGTATTTAATCTGAATTTTTTTATGTAATGGGCTTTATGGCAGTCCAATCATAAGTACGAGCTGTCCGTGACATTCTTAACTCAGGGACTGCCTGTCATTATTTTTTATCGTGTTCTGTAAATTAAACTCCCAAATTGTTTGTTAGCCATCATAACATTCTGGTTATTACGGAACTGATTTTGTTTCCTTTGAGGCCATATACCTCTGCACCCTGTCCCAGTCTTGACTGATGTCCCTCTGTCCTTCGGGGTCCTCCGGTGCTGTTTTAGATGCCTCCAAGTTCGAGAGCAACTGACGACCCTGCCTCAGCACTGACCTTATGTCATCCTGTAAGAAAAACACTTTTTAGCATGTATCAAATGTGCAGATGAGTAAGTTGTCTGTTAGACAATCCTGTAGTCAGGCCTGTAGCCAGAAGTAAATATTGTGGGTGCACGGCAGCCCTATCAATAAGGTGAATAGTTCAGGTCCAGAAAGTACAAATACAAATATTTCGTTTCAATCGACCAGTTGAGTACTCTGAGTACTCTGTGAATGTAACTCGTTATACTTAACTGGTTGGTTGAAACAAAATCTTTGGATTTGTACTTTCTGGACCTGAACTATTCACCTCGGCCAATAACCTCCTTTCAGCATATTTAGCTTGGGTAAATTTGGCTTTTTGTGGTGGGATAAAACATTTAACTACCTTCTACCTGCTTGATCAGTAATATTTCTGTAATATTTTCCTGCCTGTGGTAACTTAAAAGTCAGAAAGGAAAAGAAAAATGGTACCTTGAGCTGCCTGTACTTGTCAGTGTGCGCCATGAGAAGGTAGTCGATGGCATTTCCCTCGTCTGGCAGCTCCGTCTCAGCCAGCTCCGTGCCAAACGTCTGCAGCATCTGAGCTATCTCCTTCACCGTCACTGCAAAGCTCTCAATGGCCTATAGGTGGAGCCAGAGTGAGGGAGGGAGATTCAAACATGACTTCTCCTGGGATGCACATTATTAGCCTCCTCATACTGCTTATACTTAAATTGTACTGGTTGTTTTATGTTAAACATACAGGAAGCAACTTCAAACATGCCAGCAGGTGTCCAAATAACTGTGGTGAACAGAGGCATGAAGTCACTAGTATGATATGCAGAAACAAGGCTAATTGAATTGGAAAACAAATATTAGGAAGGATATTTTTACATGAAAAGACTAATACTAGTAACAGAACTACTGTGCCTGGGTCTGATAGTTCTGACTGATTCCAGTGTGTAGACTGCAATTACGGTTTATGATATGGAGTACATCAGTGCCCCATTACAGTCTGAGTATGATATGGAGTACATCAGTGCCCCATTACAGTCTGAGTATGATATGGAGTACATCAGTGCCCCATTACAGTCTGAGTATGATATGGAGTA